AGAGTTGAAGCTAAAGCTGTGGACTCTCAGCTAAAGCCATGGAAGCACCCAGGACCCAACACCAACTCCAGAGATCCACAGCCATAGCTGTGGCTTCACCGCTTGAGCGTTGGAGGTTCCTTAAGTTTGAAGGAGTTGCCACAGCTATAGCTGTGAAACCACAGCTGCAGCCTTGGAGGTTTCTTCACCCTGAAGGACTCTCCACAGCTATAGCCGTGGATCTGCAGCTGCAGCCGTGGAAATAAAAGTTACTTTTTGGCCTTGTTTTGAAGCCAATATAAAAGGGAAAAACAGAGGAACCAGGGGCATCACGAAATATACAGAGAAAAAGAGATTAAGGGCTTGGGAAGAAGGAAGAACAAGGGGAGAGAAAAGATTTGGAAGCTGGATCCTTTGGGAACGAAGATCAACTCCATTTCTTCATCTTTTACTTTGTAATTTCTTCCTTTCACTCTTTGATCTTGTAATGGCCATGTGTGGCTAAACTCATTAAGGATTGGTTAGATGTAACTACTAACTCCTCTTCTTCTTAAATATATGCATTTTGATCTCATTATTTGTGTAATGATTCTTCGCTTAACGCTTATATCGGCTTGATCACCCGTTGTATGATTTTTGGCTTTTGAATCCAGTTGGAAAACGTTTTCGAAAACCCGAACTGAATCTTGCACCTAATCACTTCTTGTTCTAGGAATAGACTTGATTTGGTTAGTCACATTGTTCAAGTCATTGTTCTTAATGCAAAGTGTTAAACTCAAAACATAGAGGAATCATGTTTTGAGCTTAATGACTTTAGGATTCAACCTTGAGGAATCTTGTTGGATTACTTAATGAACGTGGAAATAATGGAATTAGAATCGCATTTATTTTAAGAAGATCTACGAGTTAGCAAGTGCTCTGAACCAATCCTTGTTCTTAATCATTGTCTTTACTACGTTTATTTTATTGTGTTGTTCTAATCTGTTTTCACTCATCTGCAATTTTAACATCACTCTCTTTTAAATCATTAGAGCAAGAATTACTAAACACTCAAATCCCTGAGGACGATATTTAATTACTACATCGAAACTTGGTCCACTTGCCAAGTGGAGTGTTTGCGAAAAAACCTCATCAAGTTTCTGGCGCCGTTGCCGGGAATTTGATGCTATTTAGTAATTCTTAATCTTGTGATTTTGTAATTG